ACATCAAAGATGCCACAGGTAAATGACATGAGGGTATTGAGTATTGTGGGCAGACTGGGAGATGAGATAGAGAAGGGGAACAGACGTAGTGAAACAAGGACTTGTTTTCTTAGGTTTTGCATTTGGTGGTTGGAGAACTGTCTTATGAAGAATGGAAATTTAAAAGAAACTTAGGAAGGTATTGGGAATCCTGGCCTATAGAAGTTGCTTTGAAATATGCTTTGTATGAAAACAAAGTTTTCCAGCCCTCGAAACCTTGTAATAAATATTGATGGGTGTGTTCTCAGGTCTGTACTTGATCCTGAGAATGCCAGCACAGTTCATCATCATTGTTTCCTCAGTGAGCCTGTTCCTGTACTTGCCTGTGTACAGCCTTTGACTTCACATGTGCTCTGCTCAAATTTAGGCTTTAGTGAAGAACTTGCTTAGGAAATGGCATCTTCAGAGGTGCTGAGGAATCTGCTTCAGTAGCTGCTAATTAAATATCTGCCTCAGCCAGGGTTTGACTTGTTTATGATAGTGTACTTCTGAAAAGTGGGTAAATAACATAGATGTATTTAATCCTGTGTCGCTTTGAAGGAATACCCGGTTTTCTGTGTTGATATTAGGACCATCTAGGTGCCATTTTGGGATGGAACATGTCCTAGCATAATGCTTTGTAAAGCATTATGTTTTGTTCACCTTGCAGTAACACCGAGTGACGCAGCTGCACTTCATCTCCTGCTTATTTTAATACAGGACTGATATAATCCAGGCCTCTTCCGCTGGTTTAAGTAGTTTGGATATACCAAAGCACACTAGTCTAGACTGTTTGTATTAGCTGACAAGAAGTCTTCTACTGTTGGCATGTTAGAGTGTTTTTTAATGTTTGGTGGTTCCTTTCCTAAATAACAGATTCTGACTTCTGGGTAGATATTATACACCTTAGGTTGTTACTGCTTAGGGTTGCAGTAAATGCGGCAGGGTTTTAAACTGATATGCGAAGTAAATCTAATAACTTCTCCAGAATGTATGATACTAAGAATCTTAACTTCTGCAATAATTATTAAATTGAATGTTTGTTGGAATTTATCCAGGTTTATATTGAAATTATTTCAGTTTACAGTGTTTTTAACAGGTTTTTTAATTTAGGAAAGTTCTTGTGTGATGACTTTATAAAATGGTCCTCTGCATTAATTAAAATGGATTTCTTGCCGGTTGCTTTTTTCAGTCAGGACCATAAAATAAATGTCATTGCTTCATACTTCCACAATTTACAAACAAAAGGGTGTATTAAACATCTTCTAGTTCCAAGTCATTTTACTAAGCTCCAGTGAATTAATCATTGGATGGAAATATTGAAAAATGCAAATGAGGTTATACTGCAGCAGATTTTCAGCACTTTGTCACAAAGACCAGTTCCAATACTTAATCAGTAACTTCTGTCACTGAATATGTATTCATGCAAGCTAATACAATAGCCTCAATTGCAATAAATTTTAGCCCAATTACAGGTTGCCAAAACTTAATACTTAAATTTACATTAATTTTTTTTAAAACCCTGAAAATTAAAAATATTACTTATTAATTACTATGTAAGAAGCTTCAAAGTTTATCCAAACAGAGATGGGTTCTGTAATTCTTAGTAAGTGGCTCTTACTTGTGTGAGTCATCTGGAATGCTGTTCTGTAACTGTTGCTGAAACTTGCCCAGGATAATTGGCATTTTTCTTGTATTAAAGCTTCTGTTCATAATTTTCTATGTGAAAATTGCCTTGTGCTTTTGGAAGTTTAGATGACTTCCATCTTAACAGACCATTAATGATTAGCTGCCTTTTCAAAGGTGATCTTTGCTTTAAAAAAAACAAAAAAATCATTACTTTCTCCAATTAATTGCTGCTTGTTCACACGGTTTCATTTCTAGGGAATTACAAGGTTTTAAAGGTTAGGAAGTAGCATAATGATCAGCAGCAGCATTTTTATTTTCTGTATTCTTTCCAGGACACTTTACAGAGATGGTTACCTTATGGGGACCAGTGAAACTTGCATGAAAGGCTTAGACTTCAGGCTTGATAAATGTGTAGTTTCTTTCACAGAAGGAATTCCAGCAAAAATGATATCTTTTTCATAGAAAGTGTCTGAATACATATGCAGTGTATCTAACATGTACAATAAATGCAGCTTGTGATTGATAGTGCTCGTTATGTCTCACTTTGAGTTAAATAAAACACTTTGAGTTAAATAAATGTTTCACTTTATTGTGCATAAGATGATCAGGAGCTTGAATCCTGCTAGCTGGATTTGCCATGATAACTTGTGGGGTCAGAAGTGGTGATCCTGAGTTGGAGTGAGCGTGGTCACGTTTATGTAAATACAAGTTGTGGTCATGCTGCTGTAGCTGGGGTAGTGCAGGGCTGGGGGTTTGTGGGTAGAGGGACCATCAGGACCAGCTGGTGCCCTTGCAGTAGATGAACTTCTGGGGGCACAAATGCCTGGCCAGGTCTTGAAAACAAACAGTAGAATGGAGGGAAGTAAAGCAAACTCTGAAGAGCTGCTTCAGGATTTGGTAGAGGCTGCTCAGAAAGGCCACCTGGAAGGTGACATGGTGTTTGGATCAGGAGGTTCTGGTCAGAAGGGAATTGTCCCCTCAGTTTCTGTGGGGAGCAAGAAGTCACTGTAAAATTCATGTTAGCCAAAAGAGATCCTAGAGTGTACCGGAAACACAGAATAAAGTTTGATAACGTTTTTTAGTGTTTTATGCACTTGGCAGTTGAGGTGCTTTACACCCTGCTCTCCAGGAGCTGGTCTGAAGTGCTCAAATAGCAGGAATGCTTTCTGTGAGTAATGACAGTGCTCGTGGTGCCCGAGTTCAGTGTGCAGGGATTGGCTTGGCCAGCTTTGCCAATGCTTGAAACGTTTGAGGGGGCTCAGGAGTCTTGATCTTCTACTGGGAGGAGTATATTGTCATTGTGGTGATGTGTTCATGGGTGTTTGGTAGGGAACATCTGTATCTGTTCACTAGATAGTCTGAGGTGAGTTGACTTCTTGTTTCAGGGAAATTGTTGGTGAAGGTGAGGAAGTTGTTTGGAAATACGTGTGATGGGTTTGGAAAAATGTCTGAAAAATAATTCTAATTTGTAATGCCTGGTAATGTAATTTTTGTTGGTGGTGTGTTTTGGTCTTCTTTTGTAGTAAAGCTACCTTTTGTTATTTGGCTTCATTTAGGAGTTTAAAAGGAATTCCTTAAATTTTATCTACAGCTATATTACTTGTGTGTGTTGTTACAGTAATTTAGCTAATTAATGACTTCACAGTATGTTTATATTTGCAGTCCAGGTAATTTTCAGTCTCCTAAGTAAGGCTACTGAACATCTGGAGGAAGTAAACACAAATCAGCTGTTATCTTCCCCTTTTTTCTTGTTGATGCTTAGAAATGGAAGAATATCCATTGTGTTACATAGAAGACTTGATTTAAATGAATATAAATTGTTATTGAGAGCCCTCTTCAGCGATACTTTGTTCTGTTCAGAATTATGGCTAAAAGCTGGTGAGTGCCCTCACCTCATTGTTGATCTGTGTTTGAACAATGCTCAATATCTGCAGTGAAGTATTCCCAGTCCCTAATGAGGTTAGACTGCCAAAGCTATTGTGGAAACTAGAAACAGAGTCACTTGTTTGAAAACCTTCTATTTCTGCTAACTTTTATTTGTTGTATTGATAATTCTCCTAATTGTGCAGAAAATGTGACCTTCTGGAAGTGTGCTGACATACTTTAAAGCAGATTTTCATTATGTCAGTTTAGTCTTTGCATGTAATTAAAATAAATAAATATTCTGTAAGTGTTCAGTGGAACATGATGAGAAGCTCTTTCTGCAATTCCCTCAATTTTTGCAGTTTTTTTAAGGTTTAAGAGGTAGGTGGACAAGTTTCTGTGTCCTTTGACAAGCGATCAACTTCTGCTTTTCTTATTTTTGAGGCTTCTTTTACACCCTGTCCTGTTGCCAGATATTCCCATTGATACTCAAATGCTCTCATAAAATCCAGTCAGTCCAGGTCACCTGACATTGTTAAACTCTGACAGTGATGTAATAGCTAAATACATTTTAATCAGATGTGGTCCAACTACTCCTCTGATCCCTGTGGCAGTACCTGTTTGAAAAGAAATAGCAACAGCAAAACCAACTCGTCCAGATGTGTGCTCTGGTCTCCTAGGGAACCACATGTCTTTCTTCTCTACTGAAGATGAAACCAGGGATGAAAATGGGTTTAATACTACCCTGGAAATAACTTAAGATTTTTCTAAAATGCCATTTGAGGCTTTTGATCCTGTGAGTAATAACCTGGCTCAATCTCAGGAAATGTGTTGTAGAATGTTTATAAATAAAATTTTGGAAAATTATTTGCAGTGTTTATAAAACAGTAGAAATCTAAAGTTCTTGAACTGAAGACAATCACCTAGTGAATCACAAGGAGCAGAAATGGTGTGGAGCTGATTACATCCATTGCACTTGTGACAGCAGCTTGTGTGTTTGGCAGACTGTCACAAATGCATTTATTGAGAGTACTGTCCTGTAGTGATACATTTTACATTTGTGCAGTTTAAGTGAGGATTTCTTCTAGCTGCCTGTTCCTGTAGGTCAGGTGTTTTAGCTCTTGGGAAATATCTTCCGAAAGACCAGATTTCTACTCTGTGTTTGGATATTTGTATAAATTTACTGACTTAAACAGAATCCCAAGGCTTGGTGCTATCACTGTTCATTGTAAACTTCAGTAAATCACATTGGCTGAGGCCTCTTAGCTGGAAGCAAATAAGTCCAAGATGGTGCAGGCAGGTGGTGAAGCACAGATCTATTTTGCCAGTTTGTCCTCTCTGTTCAATTTCTTCTTAGCTTTGATCACATCCATGGGATTAAATGTTCAGACTCTCATTTTTAAATAAATGCAGGTGGATAATATGTTTTGAAGGAGCTTCTTAGGGTGCTAAACATATTTATATAATACTGCATACATGTTTATTTCTAGGAGAAGGAGCTACAGCAGAAGTTCCCTCATCTTTTGTGATTCTGTCTCTGTGCACTCTGGTAGTCCTGGTCATTCTGCTGGCAAACTGTGTCTCCTGCTGTAAAGACCCCGAGATAGATTTCAAGGTAAGACCTGAAGTTATCAGTGTGTGTACAGGTGATATTCTCAGCTGCATTCTGGCATCCAGAACACTTGATTAGTTGTGCTGATGCTCTGCAGTGTCACTGTGCATCCTCTCTTCTCAAACAGCCAGTGACTGTATTCCTGCAGGCTGTGGGTCTTGATGCAGCTTTATTTTAACTAATTGCTCCCTGTTGCAGTAAGGGTCTTTAATGCCTTTTCAAAATAATAACTAGCTATCAGAATCAGTAGTAAAAGTTACACTTTTAGGACAATCAGCTGTAAAGAACCTTTTTGTTGTTTTTCTGTGTTTTGTTTTTTCTTAGTCTGCAGGTGGGGTCTGCAGAATAAGAATACTGAAGATGCATATCCACTGTAGCAAAACTCTTGAGAAATTGTCATCAGAGAATTGTTACTTTTGGAACATCTGAAATCAGTGTTCCAAAAATTGAGTTTTGCTCTCATTTCTAAATGGAGAATATTTGGCCTCAGAAGTTCATGGTAATTCATTCAAAGCCAGGGCTAGCATTTAAAGTAAAAACAAAACAAAGGGAAAAAACCAACAACACCAGCAAAACCCAAACCACCAAACCCACAAAAACCCCTTGATTATTAAAAGCAATGCTTTAATCTCTTTAAGACAGCAATTAATGGAAAGTAAGGAATAGAACACTAAATATCTGTCACCATTCTTGGAAAAAAGCTAAGCTTCCTTAGCAGTGCTTATTCAAACTGAAAGAAAAGTATTAGTGTTTATTTAAAGGCAAGGATCAGCTTGTTTACTGAGACTTCTTTTGTTTAGGAATTTGAAGATAACTTTGATGATGAGATAGATTTTACACCTCCAGCAGAAGATACTCCATCTGTTCAGTCTCCAGCAGAAGTGTTTACTCTTTCAGTTCCCAATATTGCTTTACCAACTCCCTCCCAGTTTCCATCTCGTACAGGTAAAATACTGTTTTTTATTGCAAAAACAAAAGTAGACATTTTCAGTGTCTAAAATGGAGTGTGGCTGTTTGACTTTACTGTAATAAATAACTTGTTACAAATTTCCATAATGTGAGCCAATACATTGTGTAGGATAAAAGGTAAAAAGGGGAAATATTACTTCTAAGATGTTAACCTGTGACAGGTTTAAGAGAGCTTAAGAGAACAAAACTGCCTTAAAACCCCCTCTCTAGATTGCTGTCATTATATCTCTGTATTCCTAAAGGGTTTGAAGTACTCTGGGACATTACTGACTTCTGCTCTTTAGTGGTTTTCTTCATGGCTAAGTTGTCATTGGATTTTAACCACCACCCTTAAATAGAAATAAGAGTGAATCCTTTACTTGACAGCAGTGCTACTGCTCAGCTGCATCACTTCCTTGATGTCACTGTAGACTATCTGTGCAGTAAATGTGATCTTGGTAAGACAGAGCATTAGGTTTCATCCTAAATGAAATGTGGAAGGGGTTTTGGAATGTATTCTTTAAAATACAATTTTTGTAAAAGGAAGCTTAAGCATCTTATCATATTATAAGCAGAGTTTAGCCTGAAGTACTTACTCTCATATTGTGCTATTTCACATAATTTTACGTACTCCTTGGGTTGCTTGATCATTAGATGTTCAGGGAAGCTTCTAGTAAAATTCCTGTACAAATTTCAAGAAACACTCAGTGTGCCTTTAATACAAATGACACAGTTGTACAAATGAGTCAGTATTTTAAAGAGCTGGGAAAAATTATGAGTGAAAAATTTTGTCAGCTCTTCTGTGTAGCCATAATTGTTAAAATGAAGCTGTCACAATAAGTGTTTTGCCAGAAGGAGGGCAATGTGCCTGAGTACTTGGATAAAATGTGGTTGCACTGCTGTGGCCTTCGCAATGCTGAGGAGCACACTGACAGTGATTTATACAGCTCTGGCTCTTGCAGTACAAGAATACTGCTCTAAATGTAGTTTATGGAAATAAAGTGTGGGCTACAGTTCTCAGACTAGAAAAGGTTTTGTTTAAATCAATTGGTGTTCCTCACTAGTTGGGCAGCAGAGGGGTCAACACTGCTGAATCTCTTCTGGTGAATGAGGTCTGCCATTGTTACTGCCCATCCTCTGCCAAGATCTGGGTTTTCTCTTGTCCTCCTCTCTGGGCTCTTGTGTGAAGTACTTTTAGTTGAAAAATGTCCTCCTTCCAGATGCTAGCTACAAATAGGGCAGTATTAGTTGAAGAATAAAGCAATCAAAACTTTTCTCTTGAAAAGGTAACTCTATATAACTGTAGTTGTTAAGATGTACAAACAATGAGTTTTGTCTTGGGTTTTCTATTCTATTTACATAGGAGACTTTTGTAAGTAGGTTATTTTCTCTACCCAGATACAGGCTACAGGCTATAATACACTTTTATATTGGAAGCAGAACTTAGCCTTTTTGCTTACTTGCTGAGTGTGTTAAAAACCTTTTAAGATCACATTTCATCAGGACAGTTGCTGTGGTTTTGCTGGGGGTGTGTTCTGGTGTAGTTTAGAAGCTGGACCTGAGAAAAGTTTCACTTGAGTGCTATCATCACAACATTACCTTCCTACTTTATGTCCACCTGACTAGGGTTTGGTGCTTGGGCTGAATGTGTGCATCCAGCTGGGAATAAATCTTGTAGAAGCTTGCATTATTTCCTCAGCAGTTGCTAACTGAGTGGTTTGATATGTGTTACGTTTGTTTCGTTGTGTGACAGATGGATCAAAGTCTCAAGTTGCACGTCAGAGTCTAAACTACATCCAGGAAATTGGAAATGGCTGGTTTGGAAAGGTGAGGAGTTATCTCTTCATATTGCACAGATTGAGGCTTATTCTCAGGTGACTAGGCCTCTGTATTTACTTTAAAATGCTACTCAAGAAAGAAAAAAAAGCATAAAAAATTTTAGTTGAAATTAGATGCATGCATTTTTGAGCTGTAATCACAGCACTAATCTGTGCTTTTTAAATTTACCTGTAGATTCTTAGTAGACACTAGTTAGATATTTCACTTCCATGGATTTGATTTAATGCACTCCTGGTTTTACCAATTCTTTTTAGGAAAAAAATTGAGTAAATAAGTGGTCTTCACTAGAAAACGTTTTCTGAAAGCTGACATGTAGATCAGCTGTTAAGATTCAAGTATTTGTATTTAATTATCAAAGCTTTGTGTTTGTAAACAAGCCAGGAAATCTTTCCTGCAACGTGTTTTTATCTTTTGTTTTTCTTTGCAGGAAGACTACAAATGTTTTTTTTCCTCTTATTAAAGACACAATCTCTCTTTCAGGTTCTCCTTGGAGAGATCTACACAGGCACTAGTGTAGCAAGGGTAATAGTGAAGGAGTTAAAGGCAAGTGCAGGTCCCAAGGAGCAAGAACAATTCTTAAGAAATGGAGAACCATATTAGTAAGTAATATTTCACAGCTTCATTTTGCTGCACATAAATTATGGGTATTGCTTTTGTTCAGTGTTATTGTCTCTACTTGCCCTCACATATAACTGCAATGTTTTTCTTTAAAATGTGAAATACACTCAACCCAAAGTGAGTAAAAGTTGTGTTCACATAACTTAGTGTGCTTTACCTTGCCTGGATGTGCTGTAAAAGATTGGTCAGTGAAGAGCTTTCTCTTCTTGGTGCTTCCTAACATCCTGGCTATATTTGCATTTAGGCTTAGGTTGTTGGCATTTGTCAGAAGAAATTTCATGCCTTCTGCTGCATTGGCACAAGTGGTTTTGGAGCAATTTTGGAAAAGTAACTGATCTGGCTGGGAACTAACCCAGCTAAAAAAAGGTTTATCTTGTAGCCAGATCTGTACCTTGGTGTAGTTCATGAGTTGCATGCTTTTATTTTTGGTATGAGGGGTCGTGGGAGGATGAGTGTGACTCTCATGTGGCAATCCTGGCTTTTGTGGGTTTGAGATCCTGTGAGTTTTGGCTGCTGTCAGTGATACACTCCAGCAATACAAAGTTACAAATGGAATCTGTGGCTTTGGTACTTGCACCTTCTGTTCCTGCCACCCCCCTCCAATGTAATGTGTTGAAACTTGTGGTAGGGATTTCAGTGTGTTGCATTCTCCTGTGATCTTCCTGCCTTTAACTGTGTTTTTTCACTTCAGCATTCTTCAGCATCCAAATGTTCTCCAGTGTATTGGGCAATGTGTGGAAGCCATTCCTTATCTCCTAGTTTTTGAGTTCTGTGACTTGGTAAGTGCACTTATACAAGGTGCTGAATTTTTTTTTTCCACTGGTGTAAATTGTGTGTGGTATATTTACTGCCCTTTGCTCTTCAAATGGCTCTTTTGCTTTTGGGAAGTTTTTTGATTAAACAGAATTTTAGAAGGCTTTTGTTTGTTTATTTTTTCAGAGGAACCACAATTACAGTTTTTTGTTTGAACTCTTTTCAGTTCATCATGTATGTTCTAAGTGCTTGTGGAGTGTCCTGAAGAGGCAAATACCTGTTCTTTGATAATGGAATTACCAGTCTCTTTCAGTCTGCCTGCAGCAAGAATCTTGGAGGGCAGAGGGTGTCATAGCAGGGAGCTTTTTATCACAGTCCAGTACTGCGTGCACACACCAACATCACATCCAAAATATTTGCTGTCTGCAATCTTAATGTGCTTTTATTACCATTTATGTGAAAATGTTAGTTTAGGAAAATGCAAGAATTTCTTCCCTTCTGCCTTCTCCTCTACCTCCAGAGTGCCCAAATTTTACCCATGCTGTGCTGCTTTTTGCTAAAATGCAATGGTGGGCTCACTTCTGATATCAGTTGTGTATTCCAATAGCTGCAATTTTCAGTTTCAGTTTTAATTCTCTTTCCGATCCTTTATTTTACAGTACTCTTCTTTTCCCTACATGCTTTTATTTCCTTTCTCATGCCCTTATTACACCCCAAGCGACAGCCTTGTCCTTCCTGGGCACCAAAAGAAAAGCTAGGAACACACTGAAGGGTGTTCCCACTGCTTTCAGTCCCATGTGGTTCCTGGAATGGGAGGGACAGCTCAAAGCCTTGCTCAGCCACTGCAGTCCTTGGAGTGTTCATGAATGTTGTGAGGAAGGGCGTGCAGAGTCCTTGAACTGTGTCCAGTGTGCAGAGCCATGAGAGACAAAAATTTGGGTTCATGGGCTGGAAAGACTTGAGTTGTTTTATTTTGACGTAACACATTACTAAAACCAAATAAACCCCAGAGTCCAAGTGGCTGTCAAAACATTGGCTCAGTAGCTGCTTTTAAGGTTTGTTGTGTAGATGTCAACCAAAGCAGAGTTCCTTGGGAAATGTCAAGACAGAAATGATGTCAGAAGTGCACAGATGTTACTAAGTCTTTCAGAAATGAGACAGTTTGCATTTATAAATTTTTTTTTTTTCCCAGTTTCACTACTGCAGAATTTCGCTTTAAACTCAGGTGCAAAAATCTGTTTCTAGTTGCCTCAGGCAATTTAAGTTACTCAGCATGAACTTGAGTTTTTGGAGAAATACCAGTTAATCTGTTACCTTAAATAACTATATTTTTCCATGCTGCTCTTTTACTCAAACGTATTAGCTGTGGTAAATTAATGAGGCAGAAGTGCTGATAAAATCCTTCTTTTCCAAATGGAAGAAATGCCTGAAATTTTTAAATGACTGATCAAAGTGAAATGTTCTGGGTTTGCTAACAATTAAAAACTCTGTGCCTAAGGTTAACAGAGAAGGTTTTTCAATGTAGAAATAGAATACTACTTACTGGTTTTTAAACCTGCTATTAAAATTGGAGTTTCTTTAAAAGGATCCTGGAAAGAGGGTTGCATTTTATAGTCTATCAGATATACGTCCAAATCAGATTTAATTGCTGCAGTGTTTTCAAATAGTTGTGATTTAATCAAATTTAAATGTGAAGATGGAGTATCTTTTAAAGATTGCCCTACTTTAGGTATGCAGGAAAAAATAATAACCTTGTTTGAGTCCTCATTATTTATGAAGAAGTTGTCATGATCCTGCAGAGTAATCTGGTAAGGATTTTATTTAAGGGGATAAAATAGATTTTCACTTGAACTGGGGGCAGTAACCTTGACAGTTAAAGTGGTACTTTTACAAATTTGAGTGTAGTTAGGTAATTTCTTTGGAATGGAGAATAAATGTCTGTGCTCATTATTGTAATCCAAGTGAACTAAAACTTGGTTTTAGAAAATTATATATTACAGTCAGTTAAACATAACTTTCATATTAAAGTTTGGCTCACTTAGAGTGTTCTTACTTGGTATCTCCTAGACATGATGGTGTTTTTTTCTTTGTGCACACAAATACTCAGGGGCTGGGCAGACAGGACAGTGTTCCTTTGCAGTTTGATGCAGAGCTGGGCCAAGTGAGCAGCTCAGTATCCCTGTCCATCACTAATTCTTGATGTCCAGGGCCTGGAGTGGGAGGTGGCAATGTTGGAGTAAGTGCAGAGAAGAGAAAGGAAGGAAGGAATGTGAGGGAAGCATGATGGAAGAGAAGATGTGGCTAAATAGGTTTCTTTAGTAAAAAGATTTTTAGGGAAGTGTCAGGAAACTTTTTATCTTTGCAGTTGGAATTGCACTTATTTGGATTTTTTAGACTTAGTAATTGATCTCAAAGCTCCATTTGTACTTTTTCTTCTGAAATTGGGTGAATTGGGGTGTGTGGAGGTGCTTCAAAACCACACAGGAGTGATTCTTCAGCAGAAAAAGCATAAGGACAGGTGGAACTGAAGTGGTGGACTACAGGTTCCAGTGTCTGTGGTGACTTGTTCAAATGGGAAGGATGAGAAACATGGTCCTGTTCAGCTGCCAGCGCTTTAATGCTGAGCTAAAGCTCTTTCCCCTATGTTATGGTGGTGTCTATGTATATCCAGCAAAGTGAACTTGTTTTAATCCCTTGTGTGTTTAAGAATTCAGTAGTTCCGAAAGAACATGGCAAGAAGATGAGCTGTGTTGGATAGGAAATTTCAATATCTTCACGTGACAAGTTCTTTTGTGGCTCACGTGGCAGTGTTGACCTTGTTTAGCAAATTTGGCATACTAAGTAACAAAAAATGTGGCTATTCTGCTGACCAACTCAGTCTGGAGGGTACAGAGATTGTTCTATTCACACTCCTTCAAACTCATCGCTTATCACAGTGTGTCCTCCTTTTGCTACTTCTCTTGCTTGGATTTGTAGCCTTTATAAGGCCAGTTGACCTTGTCTTGGCTGCTCAGCCCTGTTGGATTATCAGTTCCCAGGCTCCTTGGCATTGAAAGGTTTTGATCAGAGGCACTGGAAACTGTAGTGCAGAGAAACTACAGCTGTCAGGGTGGCAATGCTGAATGTCAGGCAGGCTGGCTTGCTTGTTTTCTTGGCCACAGAAACTCCTGATACATTTCTGTTACACAAGATTGCTGGTTGCATGTTCAAGAACTGTTTTGGCTAACATTTTGTCTATTTTAAGAAATGCTCAAAAAGGTCTAACAGCCCCTTTCCCCATATTATTTGCATTGTATGTTGGTGCAGTCTGCTATGAATAGTTAACTGTTCACTGTTAAACATTGCAGAATGATGTCAGGTTAAAAATAGTGGTAGCTGTCTTATTAACTTTAATATATTACTCAGCCCTGTGTGTGGCCAGCATTTTGTCAGCACAGCAAATCCTCTAATGGATTGACATAATTTATGAGTAAAAGGAAAGTTATTCAAATGTGGAAGTTGCATGTATATTGTGAGGCTGATTTGCCTATCAAATTCTTGCAGAAATTCTTCAAGTCTTGCAATTCCCTGGGCAGATGAGATCAGCAGGATGCAGTATTTGCCTGGAATGCTCTGTAGCTTACTTTAGGGATGTTGCTGTTAGGGGAAGGTGTCTACTTGCAGTGATTGGTTCTTTTTTTAATTACTGCCACTTGAAAGCATGTTCTAATAAAAAAAGAATCTTTGCAATGAAAACATAATCAAAGAATTCAGTGAATTTGTTTAATGATCATGGTCAATGTGGATATGAGCTAAAGAGCAGATTTATCAGTGGTGTGTGGTTTAACAATAAAGGGGGGATTTGTCAGTTTATGACAATTTGGTAGAATGTGTTCAGTAGATGTAATTTGGTAACTGTTTCACATTTTTGAAACCTCATCATTTTTAAAACTGTCAGTGCCTTCTGGTTAGAAAGTCGTGTCAGCCATTTGGGTGTTCACATGAACCCAGTATGGTATTTGCACAAACCAAAAGCTGCCAAAGAGTACTGACTGTAAGTGTGCCCCAGCTTCTGGCTGTTACAGAGAAAAAGTGTGTTAAAACTTACAAAAATGGCTGAACAGAGAAGGAGAAAAAAGGCAAAATTTAGTTCTTCGTGGAATCCCGGGAGAGGAGGGAAAAGGCAGAGTGGCAGAGGAGGTTGGAGAGAAAGTAGAGCCTTCCTCAAGCATGATTATTGAGCTTTTTATATTTAGATGTCTCTGCACTGAATTTTGCAGAACTGCATTTATTCAGATATATATAACCTTTGATATTTACTGTGTTAAAAAGTCTGTCAATAAAGGGCCATTTTGTGGCTCTCAAAATAGTGCAGGGATAATATTGCTGTGTTGCTGCTGTCTACTTTTAGGCAGGGAAGCATCATAGGATAATTCAGGCTAGCAAGGAGCTCAGGAGGTCTCCAGCTTCCTCCTCAAAGCAATATCATCCTGAGGTCAGACTGGGTTTCTCAGGACTTTGTCCAGCTGAATCCTGAAAACATCCAGGGGTGGAAACTGCATGTTCTTTCTGGGCAGCCTGCACTTCTGTTCATGTCCTTGTGTGAAAAACTGCTTTCCTTACACTCAGTCTGAGCTGTCCCTGTTTCAACTCATGCCTGTTCTCTCTCATCCTCCATCCATGCTCCACAGGGAGGAGCCTGGCTTAGTCTTTAATAAATTGTATTGGGCAGTCGTTATGCTGAAGTCTTTCTTTCTCCATGCTGAATGAGCCTGGTTCCCTCAGCCTCTCCTCATGGGGAAGTGCTCTGACCCCTGACTGGTGGCTCTTTCCTGAACTTGCTCCAGTTTGTCTTGTTCTGGGGCAGCTAGTTCTGAGCACAGGATCTGTGTGGTCTGAGAAGGTGGTGAGAAGATGGTGAGACCTCTCCTGGGCCTGGCCCTGTTTGTGCAGCCCAGGAGCTGCTCCCAGCCTGCTGCCAGGGCACACAGGGCTCTTTGGAGCTCACTGCCCACCAGGATGCCCAGGTCCCTTCCTGCAGAGCTGCTGCCCAGCTGGCCACTGCTCACTTTGTGCTGTTGCAAGGGATTTTTCCTTTCCAGCTGTGAGAGTTTCCGTTTGTCTTTCTGGAGTTTCAAAAGGTCCCTGTTGAAACATTCTTCAGCTTGTCCAGGGCCTTCTGAAGGGCAGTTCAGTCCCTGAGTGTGACCATTGGCTCACCCCAGTTTAGTACATGCAGTGTCCTTTTAGAGCAGTACCAAAAGTTCCTATTTTATATTTTTAACCTTGATTGTAGCCTTAATTAGACCAGAATGGGAATGTTTCAAGGTGCTGGATTTAATAAAAAGTTGGTTTTCCTACAAAAATATGTGCTTACATGAATAATTTACTAAATAAGGGATGTCACATAGCACTGCTGTTACTAATGCATTTAAAAATTAAAAAGTAATTCCTGGGTGCATTTCAGGCATCCTAGGAACTTAATCCACCTGGGACAAGCCCTAAGCAAGCCGTTGCTGTTTTAATGAATGACAATTTTAGAGTCTGACTTTCTTCAGGCTCTTGCTGCCACCTACAGTCAGCTCAGCTGGGAGTTCAGGGCTTGTATTCCTTGGGCTCTGCCGTTTGGAACCTGTGTGTGTTACAAACACTGTTCCTCTCCTAGTTGTTTGGAACTGCTCTGGCAAGAGCTTCCTGGCCCAGGATTTGGGAAGACAATTGACATAGACAAAGCCCAGGATGTTATGCTGGTGAAACAAGTTGTGACATATGTTGTGCAGTCTCAATACAGAAGTGTCTTTAAAATATTTTGCTAACCTTTCAAGAAGTCTATATTTTAAATAACAAAAATACAGGACTGGTGGATTGAAAGTCATACTGTGAGAAAACTAACAACAATGGCATGAGAAACTTGTTCTTTTCCCTTGCTTGGATTCTCTTATTCCATAAGTCTTTATTTTTCTGAATGTTTGGATAGTATTCAATTATTTTCCTCTATTTCAAAGCTGTTCCTTTTTTAGTAATTTATGGAGTACTTCTGTGGGCTCATTAATTACATATCTATTGCTCAGCATTGCCTGGGTTCAGTAAAACTGCTGCCATCATCAGAATTCTCTGACTGGCATGGGCTGTATTACCATGCTTTTTATGTAGAAAGCTCTGGTGAGCTGGCAATGGCTGAAACTCTCTGCTCTAGTCTCTCCCTTCCAGCCCCTTACAAATTTCCAGACAGACAGCTTTGCTGATTTGGAGCACTTGAAAACTCATCTCATTTAAAAGCAGGGGCTCATCAAACTCTGATTTTTTAATGGAAGTTATTAATGCATGACAGATTTTATGTGGCAGTCTGATCTAGGATGTTAATTACTAAATGATTAGATTTAAAACCCTTAAGGACAATACCAAATGCCTTAGATGACTTTTGTGAGATCCTTTATGGAGACTGGAAACTTGAGGAGCTTTATTTTATTGAGCATAAATGTGGTAAATAAGTAATGTAGTCAGTTGGATCTTTATTAAAAATAGATTTGTTTGATTCAACCAACATGTAAGGCTAATAAATATCTTCAACTTCTTTTACAGGGTGACCTGAAAACTTACATCTGCAATGAGCAGGAGCACATTAGAGGAGAGTCTCAGATAATGCTGCTGCAGAGAATGGCGTGTGAGATTGCTGCTGGCCTCGCTGTAATGCACAAACACAACTTTGTGCACAGGTAAGCTCCAGAGAAATGCCAGTCAGTCAAGATGCACTCTGAAATACAGCTGGCTGTTTTTGTTAAAATCCAGGGGTATTGAAGACTGTGTTTGCACAAACATGTGGAATAGCCTGAGGCACGAAGGTGTGATGCTAATGAAGGTGCTAATTAAGCTGCAGTGCTGTGGTGTTCAGCTCCACCTGCCTGAAAGCTGATCAGCTGCTCTTTGGGTTTGCAGCCCATAGAACACAACCTGGTGCCAAGACAGTCCACATGTAGTTGTTTGATTAATTCTTGGCCAAGTCAAAATTATTTTGTTTATTGTGGAGGCAGGGATGTTAAAATTCGGTTACAATGAATCTTACCTGCTGTGAATTTTTATTAGATTCTAGAAATTTAGAACTTCTTTGGTAATGTCACCTGTGTTACTAAAAATAGAAAATAAACCCCTTTCTAATGCAGTAAGGAGGAAGCTGAGTTTAGAGGGAAAATCTGACTGAAAGGGGTATTCTCTCACTGATGTTGTTCATGTAACCTTTAAATCTTCACTAAAAGAGGTAGTCAGATTTCAAAGTAATCATGCTAGGAGAAGAATCTTGTTCCCGTCAGGGGAAATGCTAGATTTATTTTTAATTGATAGAATTATTTTTAATTAAAGTTAATGTGAATACTGAAAGAATGGCAGTAGTTGCAAAAGGCTGGGAAAATTCATTCATGGAACAATTTGCCCAGAAGAATACAAAAAAAAATTTTTTTTTGCTTAAATAAGGAACTGGAAGTCATTAGCCTCTAAGATGACTAAAATATCAAAGAGTACTTGTTCTCCAAATGTGGCTTATGTGGTAAAAGCTTGGGTACCACAAGACAGTTACCTTGTCAGTCTGTTCTCTGCTGTAGAACCAGCACTTGCGTCACCCTATCAGCAAGTCAGGAGCTTGTGTTGGAGCTTATCAATGCTGCTTACGGAAGGCAGAGATCTTGTGTTCAGGGAGAAATGAACTCTCAGAGTCTTAGAAGGTGCAGGTTTAAAAGAGCAGCAAAACCCTGAAAAAACCCCAAAGCCTGGAGTCAGCTGGTGGCTGATGAACAGAGCTCTTTTAACCCATTTAACAATTTCAAATGCCTTGAAGGTAGTACCAGTTGTACCTGTCTAACAGAGGGATCAGTTTCTTGTCTTGCAGCCGCATGACTTTGTAGGTATTAAATTTAACAGTACATTTTCAGTGAAATACAGATAAACTTGGTAAATAACTAATCTGTGGATCTGCAAGATTCTCATTGTAATGTTTACTTCTAGCAACACTATCCTGATGCTGTCAGAGTAAGTGGTAAAGCTCCAGCATCAGTGATTTTGTTGTTAGTGGTAAATTCAAGCAGCCAACAATTTTTCTCTTCCAGGATATTTATTTAAATAGTATAAAACAATTTGGCAAGCTTTGAGACATACTTGAAGGTTATAGATGTGTTTCTGACCTGTGTAGTTTAATGACTCTGGAAAGGAAAACATCATCATCTGTCTTTGTAGCAGACAAGCTGTGGCTTTCAGACCATTTGTACTTTAGAGACTTATTTTAAACCAACAGAAGCAAAGGTAGAGTTCTTCCAGGGCACTTAATTGCCTGGTCCCCTCTGTGAAGCTGAAAAGTGAAATATTTGAGCAATTAGTTGCTGAGCTCTTTGCTGTTGCAGCCGCAGTTCCAGCTTCATTAAACTTGCATAAATTTCTGAGTTTGCATGATGGGTTTCTTAAAACTGCCTCTTTGTATTAATACAGCAGCAGTGCTGGTTTGTGAGTATTTGTGGTCTGGCTTATGGCAGAAACTGGAAGCAAATTCTGTGTCTATTGAAGAGCTTTGTGATTTGTTTATTGGAGGACTTCTATCAAATACATTATTTTTTCTGTTGGTCTTTTTCAAAGACTGTAGTTCTGGTTCATGTGTAATGTATGGGTTTGTTACTTAAGGAATTTAACTGTAGATGTAAGATGTTACTGGTTGCTCAGTGTGATATTGTAATTATTATTTAATCTGAATTGCTGATAGATTTTGCTTATGACAGTTAAAATGCAAGCCATGCAGTGATAGGTGTGAAGAGGGGTGACATCACTGTAGCATGTGAACAGCCCACGTAATCTCCAGGAGAGGATTGTGAGCAGAATGAAATAACTACATGTAAATGCTGTGTGTAGTTGAATGCTTGAGAGTCTACACCACTGCTCTAGAGAAGTGACTGCAGCTTGAACTTTTTTATACAGGACAGCATAATACTCCAGGGTTTTTGTATGAGAGCTTTAAATGTGATTGCCTTGTCACTGTGTTTAGTTTTCTCTGGATTCCAGAATGCAGAGTCTGCTTGGCTCTGTGGCTCTAAACTGATTCTCCTTTGAAGCACTGGGAGTGCCCAAGGGAAATCTCAGCCTTCTGGCTATAAAATAAATCTTGTCCAATAAGTCCTCCCTAAGGAGAAACCCTATCAATGTTTGTTTTTTCTGGAAGTGATGAGTGTTTGTATTGAACTATAGTGGCCACAGTATTCCAGTGAGATGTGGAATCAATTGTTGGCATGTGTAGGTTCTGAAACTTAATAAAATGTAAGCAACAAAAAAACTGTCTTAATGTTTGGTTTAGGTATAGTTGCATTTTAGAAATTACTTTCCCCAGTTCCTGTGCTTGGGTTTGCACTGTGTATGAGTTGGTTTTTCAGAGTGCACGGACAGGTTTAATTTCCTCAGAAGAGGCTCAGGAAGGGAGCTGCAGGAGCTCCAGGAGCACACCTTGCTTGCACCCAGCTTGCCTCAGCCTTCAGCAGGATTTAGCTCTATGGGATCAGCCTACAGCTCATGTGCAGAGGATTGCTGGAGTGTATCTAGGGAGCATGCTGAGTCCTTAGCACTGTGTTGTGTTACTGATCTGCTCCTCTTACGTGCATCTGTAACCTGTAACTGCATAAGTCCTTGACTTTTGGATTCGAAGTTTCTAAATAATAGTTTTCTTGATTTTACATTTGATGCTTCAAACTGTGACCTGACTGTTCTAAAAATTGTACCTTCTGTTAACCCATTTGTCTGAATTTACATTGGAGACCTCCTGGTTTGTCTCACTGTTTGTTTGTTTGCGTTTGCAGTGACTTGGCCTTACGGAATTGCTTCCTTACATCCGATTTAAATGTCAAAGTAGGAGATTATGGTATAGGATTCAGTAGGTATAAGGTGAGTTAATCTTGTCATGGACCACTTTTTTAAAGGATTCGGGGGCCAAGGTTACAGCAAGCATGCTTGAAAGTTGTGGACTGATACTAGATTGTCCTTTATTGGAATAATGTACTTTCAAAGTATTACTGCCAAATAACTGTAGTGAGTTCATGAACCAGAATAGATACTTTTCTAGAGATGAGTAGAGTTTTTGCTTCTAGAATCTTCTGCTAAATCTGCCCTTTTTTGGTCCTATTTACAGTAGTCCTACAATATGAACAAACTAATTTTAATGTGTTTTAAGGACACATTTGAAAGAAAAGTTCAAATTTCTTAATGAAAATATTCAAAATATTAAAGTATATCAAGAAAGTGAAAAATTAAGGTCATTATTTAAAACATTTTGTAGGTACCAAACCTTAAACAAGAAATTGGCATTCAATTTTCTGCTATGCAGTGACCAGTGAATGACATTCCTCCATAGCATTATTCTCTGCTACTTGGGGAAAATGGGATTATTTTTTTTAATTATAATTTTTTGCATAGGCATCACAGAAAAGTGTATTAAGGAAAGCACTGTCACTGTCTGGAAGTTGATCCAATGTATGTTCAGCCTTTTTATGGTTTTTTTCCTTCATTTTGATCAATAATTTAGGAAGATTATATTGAGACAGATGAGAAGAAACTTGTTCCTCTGCGATGGACTGCACCTGAGTTAGTAACAAGTTTTCAAGACAGACTGTTATCAGCAGAGCAAAATAAATACAGTAACATATGGTATGTAAAAGGCTTTAAGAAATTTCAATGAGAGATCTGTGAACATATTTTCAAATGTTACATGAAGGAGTAAATAATATTTTAACTAGCCTGGTGCAGCAGATGTACAGTAGGTTAATCACTATAAACCTGAAACTATATCCTGCTTTGGAAAAATGCTTAGAAATCTGTTGAGAGAAAGTTGGAGCAAGCAAAAACGTTTAGCAGAATAATAGGTGTTTATATTAATAAAAATACCCTCAGATGTTTATAAGGAAAGAAACGGTAAATGATTTTTCCAAGAATAAGTAGCTCTGAGTGCCATAAAAAGATGATCCCACTAGAGCCTGATGAAGTTAAATTGGTAGAACAGTGGCATTTTAATTAAAATGCTGTGTTCTTGCTGCAGCATTTGAGAGCAGCAATTAACTGATGGTTTCTGCTGCCAAAGAGCTGGTAGACAATGGCTGGTGAACTCTTGAGGATGAACATTTTTGAAATAGCCAAGTTCCACTTCAGTTCTCAAGCCCCAAGAAATTGGGATAATGGAAATTGTGGATTAGGCTACCATTTCTGAAAACGTTGTAGTTAATTCCTGCTTTATATTTGAAGGATATTAAATAGTAAACCAGAGTTTGTTTGGTGTTCTAAAAGTAGGGTTGCAGAAAGCAAATGGGGTGTATGGAAATCATGTAAAAATGAATTTGCTTCCATCCTCCAAGAGGCTTCCACAGCTCATGCTGTTCATCTGGACTGCAAGCAGCCAGGGTCTTAAGGTTTCCAACTTGTTTTTCAGCGCCTCTTTTGCAGAGCTGCTTTGGACAGGTTTGAACTAGATGATTCCAGACATCCCTTCCAATCTAAATTATTCTATGTGCAGAGTCAGTTACTTTGCATTTGAAGCACAGAAAGATTCCCCGAAGATTAGCATTGACTGTACTCAGTGAAAATGTGATTAGTGTTGGATGCAGTACAGATGCAGCACTGAGCAGAGGCAGCTTTTGACCACTGCAGCTTGACAATAAAGAATTCTGTGAATTCTGGGAGAAAGATGAGTTTTCTAGCATTTTGACCTCTAACTGCAATTTCTCATGAAAGCTTTTTTTCTTCTATTGGACTAACTGTAAGGTTTTTTAATCTCATTTCTATATACCATAGTAAAAATTACAACAATATTTTTTATTTTTAAATTGTTGAAAAGATATTTTCAACAACATAGGAATATTTTCAAAATATGAAATATTTTATATGTGGGGATTTTCCATGGTCAAATAATTTGAGACCTTCTATATTTTGTCATCTTCATTGTTGTTGCCTTCAAGCAACTTTATTCTTCAGGCTTTTAGCATTCTGTCAAAATGAATTAAGTTCTGAAGTTATTCTAGAGACAATGGGGAGTAGTATTTATTTCTTCTTGCCAGTTACGCTTTGCATATCCTTTCTTAGAAAAGCCCCTCTAAAATAGTTCTGAGAGTGCCCAGTGATGTGCTGCTCTTTTGCAGGTCCCTGGGTGTGACGTTGTGGGAGCTGTTTGAGAATGGTGCTCGACCTTACTCAGACTTCTCTGACAGGGAAGTCCTAACCCATGTCATCAAGGAGAAGCAGGTTAAACCCTTCAAGCCACGTCTGGAGCAGCCATACTCTGATAGATGGTAAACTTTAAGTGTTTCTATTTGTTCGTAAAGCTGCTGAAGAAGTTTCTGAAATGTCTCAGTTCTCCTAAACACGTTGAAATTGCTATGTGGAAACTCAGCAAACAAACTCTAGATAAAGGGAATAAAGGGACTTCCTGGAGATGGAAGTTCCTGCCAGTGATACTGGTACTCTGAGGCATGTTAGGTATCTGAATTCTATAAATTCCTTTTCAGTGTGAAACCTATTGAAAATGTTTCTATTTGTACAGGTATGAAGTTCTGCAGTTCTGTTGGCTGCCTCCAGAAAAGAGACCCACGGCAGAAGAAGTGCACAGACTTTTAACTTACCTCCGCATGCAAAGCCAAAGGGACTCAGAGATTGATTTTGAACAGCAGTGGAATGCTCTGAAACCAAACACCTCAAACAGAGAAGCAAGTAATTCTGCATTCCCAATCTTGGATCACTTCACGGGAGACAGACTTGGCCACGAGCTGGAGGAGGTTCTGACTGTAACTGAAACAAGCCAGGGTCTGAGCTTTGAATACATCTGGGAGGCAGCTAAACACGATCACTTTGATGAATGTGGACATGTGAATCCTGACGAAGCCATGAACTACACAAGTATTTTCTATCCAGTGGAGGTTTTTGAGAGGTCACTTTCAGAGCAAGGACCAGGAGCACAGGATGGAAGTGGTCAAGAGGCATCACTTGCTGTCCCTGGGGTGTTACCTGTGTTTGATGCACACAAACTTTCTGTTGGAAATGACTACTATATCCAGTTAGAGGAGAAAGGAAGTGGCTGCAGCATGAATTTTGATAACCAGTCAGTTGTATTAACAACAGAAGTTGATCATCAAGAAGCTGTACAAGAAAAAAGTTCTCATTTCACGGTTCTCAGGGATCTTGATGTTGAAGAATCTAGTACCGATGGGGACTTCTTCCACTACAATACAGATCCTAAAGAGGAATTTTTAACTGCTACCAATAGTCCAGAAAGTCCTTTCCAGAGTATATTTAATGACATTGATAGATCAGAAGAATTGAGAAATAGAAAAATACTTGGGTTTGCTGAAACAAATGATTCTCCTAAAGACTTTAAACCAGCTGTTTTGAACTCAAACACAGATGCTAGAAAGGCAGTAGGCTGTTCTGAGAAGGAGCATTCTAAACATGCTTCTGAAAATGAAACAGTTTCCTTATGTGAAAATATCTCTAACCAGTCAGAGCTGGTAACTTTAGAAGAACTTTCTGATAACTTCTTATTTCTTCAAGAGAAAAACTTACTAACAGGGTTATTGCCTAAAAAAACCAGCAGTGATTTTGGGCAGTACTCAGATGATGTTCTAAAAAGTATATTAGAAACCTCAAAAAGAAACTCTGTAGAGCCTGAGCCTGTGCTGACTGAAAATGCACAGGTCTTTTCTTTAATACATGAAAGTCTTAGAACAGTGAAAGATGAAAATTTTAACCCTGTGACAATAAATAAAGATCCCAGTTCCCAGTCTCAGACTCCTGTAGAAATGCAGGCATCCTCTAGTCCACCCACAGCACATAATTCATCTGATAACTGTGCAAATCCTCCTATTTTGAATGATGAGGGGAAATTTCTAAATGTAGAAGTGAATGAAGTCATGTCCTGTAACACTGATGTTCTCTGTCAAGAAGAGCTATCTTATAATGCCAAAAATAATAATGTTGGAAGCAGTCCATATTGCAGTGTTGCTATTGAAACAGATGAGTGTGATGCACAGATGAAACAGGGAATGCTTTTCAAATCTGATGAAACAACTTTTAACAAAGAAAAATGTAGTGATCAGGAGGATAGGAAAAGAAACTTGCAGGATAGTTCTCCCATATTTAAAAAAAATGAATGTTTATTGGAGGAAATACAAGAAACATCAAATCATTTTGAGAACTGTAAGGATGTTCCAGGAGAGGTGACTTCAGTTTCTGTTGCTGCTTCAGATTGTACCAGTCAGGATAGTCTTTTGGAAGACAGCCCATCTCCTATACAAACTGTAGAACAAACCTTAGAGACACCTGACTCTTTGGATTCTTTAGATGTAAATGAGGTTTTAGAATCTTTACAGGCTCAAAGTCCTCAGAAACTTTTGCCACCAGATAAACCTGCTGACAGTGGCTATGAAACAGAAAACCTGGAATCTCCAGAATGGACTTCCCATGTCCCTGTTGAGGATGCTTCCAATGTGGATACTGCTGTGTGTGTGAGCGAGAGCAGTGTCAGTGCTTTGCCTTCTAATCCAGTCATCATTGTGTCAGAAGCAGCAGCTTGTTTGGATGCAGTGAACAGCAATTTTGAAATAACCCCAGTGGTTTTTCTGACTGGAAATCAAAACTCTTACAGAGACTCAGCCTATTTCTCTGATAATGATTCTGAGCCAGATAAAAAACCAGATGAGTCTGTAAACCTGTCCAGAGAGACTGTGTGTATTATTTCCTCCAACAGAGGAGAGAATCGCACTGAAGAGGTTTGTGGTTTTGAAGACAGACAGCAAACGTGTGATGTGAGCAATTACCAGGATGATGATAATCAAAACTCGAAACTGGAGCTCAACCACAATTTAGAGATCCAAGAGATGGATGAAAGGATGCAGGGGTGTCCTGATGAGTGGGCTGAGGCAACTCTGACTTCCCTGGAAATAGTGATGGAAGGTAACCTGAGGGATGAAATAAAACTATCTGAGACTTCCCACAAAAGTGTCTCTTGTGTTGGCACTAACACTTCAGAACTCCTTTCACAAAGAGACTTAAAGCCTGTGCACAACATGGCTTTAGATCTGAGTAACAGTGAGAAGTCCTTCTATCACATGGACGGACAAAAGCTGAAAGAGCCAGATATTGAAGGAAAATACCTCGGCAAACTCGGCGTGTCGGGAATGCTTGATTTAGAAGACGGCGATGATGCAGATGAGGAAGATGAAAACAGTGATTCTGAGGATGACATGAGGACTTTTCATATGCATAGTCTGAGTTCTGACAGTGAAGATGAAACTGTTCATCAAGTACCTGAGATAGTTACTGAAAAAGATGATGGAAAACATTTGAGAAGCTTGTTGAAACTTCCAAAACCTCTTCATGAAAGGCAGTCTGAACTTTGGAAAGATGAGAAGAAGGCTGTAACGTTCTTTGATGACGTGACAGTCTATTTGTTTGATCAGGTACCCTTCTTTTTAATTACTAAGTAAAATTTTTGTTGCTTGCTTTTTTTTTTTTTTTTCTTTCTTTAAACAAGAAGCAATTGAGTAAATTGCTTAATATTTGGGAAAACCTTGTTACAAAAGTACCTTTCTTGTTTTGGCAGGGTTACAGCTTGTTCATGATGTGGGTTATTTTTTCTTTTTATATTAAGGCTATATAAGAATATATATATGTAAAAGAATAATATTTATATATAAAGAAAAAAGAACTTTGTGACTTGGTTAGGTACAGTTTTGGGCTGCTGATAGAATAACTGCACTAATCTGAATTAAGGAGGATTTTGCTTTGGTTTCTAAACCATGAGTCTCCTTTGCTGTTGGACCCTTGACTGCATGTGCTGAATGAAACATGGTTTTAGTGATGTTTTTCTGCTCATTATAAGATGTGTTTAATTTGAATATGTGAGACAGCATTGCTGTGGACAAGATTTAATTATTTTATTTTGACAGAATATTGTTGTAACTTTATAGAAGCAGCTTATCTGTTTAATGAGTTTGAAGTCTTTAAGATACTTTATAAAAGAAAGGAAGAAAGCAAAAAAGCCAATAATTAAACAAACAAAAAAAACAAAACAAAACAAAAACAACAACAACAAAAAAAAAACAAAAACAAAAAACAAACAAACAAAAAAAAAAAAAAACAAAAAAAACCCCAAACCAAA